CACAAGCAGACATTTTTAAATTACCGGTTGGTTTTAAGGAATCAACAGATATAAGAGGAGGCCTATTTCGTATGTCTATTGATCCATAGTTAAATGACTCAATTCTATTATTTAAAGTAATTAAAGTAAAATACTTTAAGCTAAAAATCATTTGATTTAACATAAGTCCAATGTCATACTTACATACCCTTTCTAGTAAATCGTGCATAATATCTACTGCATAATTTTCAGTTACATGGAAAGAACTAATTTCATTAAATACACATGCTTGGTTTATTCCAGTTCTACTCGCATCATTAATTTTTATATCAGAATTGTATATCAATGTTTCGAAGTTTATCATCTAATTGATCTATTTGACTATGGCATTCAGTTTTAGATAATTTACAAAACCGACAAGGATAATGGACAACAAAACTCTGTAAAACCTAAAACAGAATGTAAACCTAAATTATCTCCCAATATCAGACCAAGGGAAAAGAAAACACGATACAAAATACCTTTTATGTTGATTACAATACCAATATTTTCTAAAAAGTTTAATTGATCAATGATATGTTTGAATACTGCATAGTTTCCAAATTCTGTCCTATCATATGATTTAAACAACCCTGCTAAAAATGTGTTATTTATTGAGGACGATAATTCAGGTGGCAGACAAGGTAATGAAATATATTAAGCCCCAAGTTTTTGATTACCAGAATGACTACCAAGAGGATTAGTAATTTCAAAGTCGTCAAAAAATAAAAAAAATAGGGAAAACAATTTTATTTGCATTTTTTTTTTAATTTAGAGAGCCAAATTGGAGATTGTGTAAAATTACTAATACAATTATCTGATTGGTTTTCTAAGTCTTTCATACAATTCATTATAGTAATAAATAAATTTGAATTTTCTAAAATAAGTTTTAATACGTGTTTAAGAGGTATATCAGACAATTCAATTGATTTTGGTCCAAAGATTACACGACCAAGTTCAAGTCTGTCTTTAATCTTTGCCCTATATATACCATGTCAAGTTTAACCAAAACACCTACTTCTTCAAAAGCTTTGAAACGATGATGTTCTGTTTTTATATCAGTGAATGGACTTAAAAGCACATCAAACATAGCTGATATTTCTTTTATATTATCTGAATTACTATTCGACTTTAAATTATCCATAACTTTATTTTTTAAAACATGTAAAAATGAATTATTAAAATATTGAACATCATCAAACAAAACTTTAACTTCTTTCCTGGGAATTACTTTATTACTATACCACTTGGCTGCTAATAAAAGTGTATTGGTTTTCAAAATGTGTTTAAACTTTTCAATACCTATTACAGGTTTACAGAAGTAAACTTAAGTAAATACCTATAACAGAAGTTTTATTGTTAGAGCTATTAGGTATGTGATCATATTGAGTTTCAGTATGAACGGTATGAAATAGTTTACCAGACTTTGAAGGAGTTCTAAGTGCTTGTAGTGCTAAAGTCTCTTGTACACCAAATTTGATATTGTGTTTTTCAATATATTGTGATAATTTAATTATAAACCCATCAAAATTAGTAAATAACAATATTTTCTTATCCGGGTATAATTTTTCAAAATCAATTCAATCTGTATAATAAATAAAATATATTAATTAAAGATAACTAAAAAAATATAGTTAATGACACTATTATCTTAAATAAAATGCAGAAATAATGTATCATACAAATACAAAATATTTTAAGTGTTTGAGCCAATTATGTTAGAGCAATGAAATATTTTATTTAAATTTACAAACTATTATGCAAATCTTCAAAATGTAATATTACAACTTAATTACCAATAGATAGCCAGTAGGTTTTTTTTAATTATGCGTTTCTAAAAATGCCTTCTTAATTCTAAAATTAAAAGTTTCTTGCCAAAATTTGAACAAAATGTGTGCAGGCTCAACATTATTTTTTAACCATTTAATTCTGTCTTCATAATCTATTAACAATGATTAATTTTTTTTTTTTAATTGTTTTAGATAAATCGATTTAAAGAACTATTATAAAAACAATTGGTAATAGTACCTGCATCATCAATTACATTTTTTCCATCATCATTAACACATGGTATAGTGGCAGGGGCTCCAATTTTTTTAATTTTTTTTTTTATATTACAATATTTATCATACAATTTTGCTCTAGTTGGAATACCATTTGTCCAGTTCTACAATATGGTGTGTAATATGTGTCCTTGGATTCTGTAGGGAAAATCATTTTTATTCCTTAACATGGAATGTATGGTTTTAGAATTAAAATTATTTTCAAAGAGATACTATTTTAATTATTTACCTTCTGCTAACAGTAAAAACTTAGATTTAGTAATTTGGTGATTTGGTTCTGTTTGCAATTTATGTTTGACTATATACTGATGCAAGAGAATTCCTAGAAGCATTATTTTAAATGCCTTTTGTGGTGTACAATTTTAAAATCATTAAACCATTTTAGTATTTTTTCAAAATGTCTTTTACAATGTTTCCCTTGAAAAATGTTTTTAACTTAGTTCTTTGATTTTTATTAGAATACAAGGTCAAAATATTTATACCTTTTCGGGATCAATAACAGTTATCATTTTTGACAATCTACTTGAGGCAGGAATACTTTCTAAAATTATTTTGTAAATATTAATGGTAATTTTAATTTAGTAGTCAATGTTCATTGAACTTAAAACTTATAAAAATGTATATTTAGCACTAGTTGGATCATACCATTAATTATTGTATTGGATTCATACATAATTAAAGATGGTATTACAACTAAAGTGTCATCATCCATTTCAAATGGTAAATTCTGAGTATTGATACACCCTATATCATCTGAAATAGTGTCTTTTGAAACTAATATTATGAACATCTAATTAAATTGTTTAAAGGTACCTAAGCACATAATTTTTGGCTAATTATTAAAAAGTATAAATACATGACTTCCAGGATTATCATTGATAAGAATATTTTGACAGTGTACATCATTATTAACTTTCTGTAGGGATGAAAAATATTTAAATAAATGCAACAAAAAAATATCAAACAACATTTAATAATATTAAATATATACCTAATGTAAGAATAATTAATTTTTACTGTCTACCCAATAATACCTATAGATATACCTATCCTTTATAATACAATTTAAACATACTTAGTGTAAGTACTTACAAATAGATATTCAATTCTATGTAGGTACTTAGGTATTGTTTTACTCACTTGATTTTCTTTAAAATTAATAAATTTACTAAGGCAAGTAGATCGTCTACCAACTTTAGGTATAAGCTCTCGAATCATGGACTCTGTTAATATCATAAATTGCTCATGCCCAACTTCTTCGTCTAAAATATATAGATAGGTATTAATAACTAAGAAATATAAACTATAATGCATTAACAAATAATTGTTCCAGTCTTGTATAGTAGGTCTCTAATATTATATCAAAAAGACTTTTAAGAAACACATTTAATTTAATTTTTGTTTTTCAAAGGTTATAGTATAAATTAAGGTCTTAGACCACAAACCATAGAGTACAAATGCTAAGTACATTATTAATGTTTGTAAGAAGGTTATAAAATAATTAATCAATGATACATAACAAGATATTAATAGATTGTATGAATATATTAAATATTTACCCACAGGCTACAATCACAGATTTTATAAAATGCTACAACACACATAGTGATAATCACAAAGCTCAACACGATCTACCTATCTCTCCTTTTAATATCTTACATGCCAGTTTTGCCGAATACGTACTTAAGCTAAAATTGGAGAGTAGGTACTGAGTCTATATAATTTTAAAGAATTGACACTTAGTAGTCAGTAGGTAGTAGGTACCTACTCAATAAGAACATGATAAAACTTTAATCATTAATGGCCAAGTGGAAACAATAAGCCTAAATGCAAATAATATTTTTATGGATGTAGGTAGAGGTGAAATGAGTGGTTAAAATGTATGTTTAATGCATATTTTTATGAAATTTTGGTCATTAACATCCGAGCTCTAATGATTAAATAAGAATTTTTATTTTATTTGGAAATAAAAAAAAAAGGAAAAAATTATATTTTATAAGTAACTTTTCAAACACTTCCATGTAGTCTTATGTTGTTCCTTGCAGGCGCGGCTCCAATGGCGATGGGGCACTAGGACTATGTCCTTGTGAACTGTAAAATCCTGATTATCTTATTAGATACCTACCTAATAATTTTATTTTGTCTAATAAACCATATTATGACATTAATATGAGGTGTGTATCATAATATAGGAACGTAGTTGGACTCTGTGTCTTAGTACTAATATGGGGAAACAACTATTATATAGCTATTATACATATATAAGTTAATACTTAAAATGCCCCCCCCCCCCCCGGTAAATCTCTAAAGCCGCGCCTGGTTCCTTGTGTATATAATTATGATTGTAATATTAAATACAATATAAAAGTTTCCAATGTTTCCATTTCATTAATTAATGTAGAAAAATAAAATTATATTTTATTAGCTATTATATTTTACCTATGATATTAGAATTCTTACAATCAATTTTTAACAAGGTATTAATTAAAGCCATCGTTCTAATACCTAGGTACTCATAAAAATTAGGTAATTGAACTAGGTACCTATATAACTAACCTATATAACTAAAAATGATTTCTAAACCAATTAAATTGACCAAAAAGAATAAACCAACATTGATAAAAATCATGAAATATTGGTTAATGCATTAAGTAAGTAGGTATTAATAATTAAACATTACATGTTTATATTCATTAAGTAAAACGAAGTGTTATTTTAATTATTTTATTGGTAAACCGTAAATCTATGACCATATTATGTTGACAAATTCCAGTACTATAGTCAAAAACAAAAAGAATATTGTTAAATTGCAAATATAAGGGTTTAAATAATCATAATTGTCACAGATAAGCTTAATGATGTTAAACAGACACTATTACAAGCTAGTTTAAAAACGACAAATTAAAATGGGCGTTTATTTTGTTTCTAGTTTCAGATTGGTTTATACGTTAGTAAACACGATGAAATCGATGGATATTTTTAAATTAGCGTTATTTTGTGCATGCTTAATGTCATTTTTTGGTAAAATTGATTTCGTATCAAAATATTGATTACTACCTACATAATAATTTACAATTACCTATTAATATTTCTAGGTGAGAATTACTCTAAAGGAGAAGGGTGTAGTAATTCTGTCGCTAAATCTGCTGGTGTTAGACTCTCAAATGATTTGTTTTGTGGCTATGATAATAATATTAGACCTGTGATGAATCATTCGACACAAACCAATGTCAAAGTTACATTTATTCTATATAATTTTCATATGGTAAATATTTATGTTATGTAGTGCACTAAAAGTATGGTGCTAGTAGTTCGATTCATTTTCATCATGATTTTATTTATTTTTTGTTCTTATTCATTCTAGAATGAAGAATGGGATGTTCTACAAATGAGTATTCAATTAATTATGGTAATATTAATATTATAAATAATAAACATATTACAACCTACTTACAAGGACATAGATAAAGATTTTTTTCTGCAGGGTTGATATATTAATACAATAATATAATAATAGTTTTTATTATAACCTACTTATTTAATAGCTGGTATTATGGCAATGGGGAGGGTTTGAACACCAAAGTCCTCCTACCTATGCCACTGTTTACTTACTTATTAATATTGTAAAGATTTTTATTTATTTTACAATTAACTTACTTTGAATTATTTTACAGGCATGGAAGGATGAATTTTTAGTTTGGGATCCTTCAAAATATGATAATATTGAAAAAATACATGAACATTCATATCTACTTTGGCTCCCTGAAATAAGGACTTTTGATGAGTAAGTAAAAAGTTGACTCTTATTTATTTAACTATGCATCTATATATATTTTTACATACACACACGATAATATTTAAACTTTTATAATAGGATTGATTATATTATTAATAATATTATAAAAATAATATTTTAATAACTTACATAAATATATTTAATAATATTTTCAAATAATAACTGTAATAATAAATTGTAAATAAATATTTTGAATATTATATTATTATATAGAGCTTATTATTACATAATACGTAGCGTGATGAATTTTAGTATGCTTTGAAGGGAGAGCGTTTGAGGGTTGGCCAAATTATATAAAATATTTTAAATTAGTTATTTCCCTTCAAATTAAATTTTATTAATTTTATTCGGCAAATTTGCCATTTCTAATATTTCAACACTCATTAATTTTGTACTAAAAGGTTGTTGTCTCGTTAGGAACTTGGAGCAAGAATTTTCTAGATAAAATATTTTTTTTTGTCTAGATCATTAGTTCTCAATCGGAGCGACATATCACCCAAGGGACTCATCGTAAGGGTAACACGAAATCATTATGGAAAAAAAAATTTATAAGAAAACTAGTGATGGGAATAATCGAAAGGAATAATCGAATTATTCGATTATTATTTTTCGATTATCAAAATAATCGAATGATTTTAATAATCCAAATAATGGTACAATAATGGTACAAATAATAGTCAAAAGCAAACTAACTGAAATATTCGAAAAAATTGCTTGTTTAAGTCGACTGTCAATCAATATTATATTATTATTTATTTTATTTTTAATATATTATATTTTTAAATATATGGATTGAGAATGCATTTCATTTTCACTCTTATAGATAATCATTTGATTATTTATACAACCAGTTCTAGCAGTTAAATCATGAATCATTCGATTATTTTGATTTCGTATACTAATCATTCGATTATTTTGTTTTCGACTACTAATCATTTGATACTTTTGTTTTTGGCTACTAATCATTCGATTATTCGATTTTTTTTTCTTCGATTACTAATCATTCGATTATTCACATCACTAAAGAAAACAATAAATGTTTTCGAACAAAATCATATAATGGTCGTCACCGTCATGTACATAAATAGCATACTTCAACGTGTGTATATTTAAATGATTTATATTTAATCTAAAGTGTATAGTTAAAATCAATGGTATATTAATGGTGGGTGGTTAGGAGTTTCCCTCCTAAGAAAATCTCCGGACTGCAAAATTTTTAAATTTCAATTAATTTGAAGTTGGTTAATTTAGTAAATTCATATAAAAGGAAAATTTTTAAATGTATTAATTTTATTTATTTTATAAAAACTAATAAAACCCGGGTAAGATAATATTGGTGTTTTTGACTGTAGTCGCAGAAAATTGTTGTCTACTAATTGTGGATATAGTTTGATGAAAATTGCATTTTTTTTTTTAAAAAGATTTAACGGCCTTGCCATGTTATCGATTCATCTAGATTTAAATACTACTGCCAATGGAGTTATTAACGAATTGGCAAATAAAACAAATAAAAGAAGGAAGCTAAAGTTTATCATATAGTTTAAAATTAATAATACTAAATTTTTCAATTAGAAGATAATAAAAAAGATTAAAATAAATTTTGACCATTTTATACTGGTGCATAAAAAAATGAATGATGACACCCCCTCCCTCAAAAAAAAAAAAAATATATTGTTTGTAAATAGGTCACTGGTTAAAATTGTTTATTATTTTTTTTATTTTTGAGCGACACAGTGTTCGATTCGAGTAGCCAAAGATGACATGAATCAAAAAATATTGAGAACCACTGATCCATAACTAAAGCGCGGCTCATATCCCGGACATGTACTGACTCCTTTCAATAACGTCATATCTCAAAAATCAGCCATGGACTTTTTAAATTTCAAATTTTATACATTATTCTTTTATAAATAGACTTAGTAAAATAGTAAAAATTTCAGATGGTAGATTAGTATTTATTTTAGATGATTTTATTCTGCATTCAAACTTTAAAGTTAGTGTTTTTAAAATTCAAGCTTTTTGAGATATAACGTTGTAGAAAGAATTGAGCGATGTATAAATGTACAATTTTATGATTATATTTTATCGGTTTGAAACACAGCTTAAAACAAGCAAAGTAGATCTTTATATGACATAAGAATAAGGAATTTCTATACATTTTACAATCATGACGCTTAAATTAAACAGGAATTTATAATAGTATGCTTTTAATGAAAATCAAAGTAGAAATTTCAATAGATAGGTTTTATATAATAGTATTGTGGCTTCCAGTGTTGGATTTTAATGAAAGCAGTGTTTATTTCAAGAGGAGACCGGTGAGAGGGTATTAACCCCATACCCTGAAAAAATGTATTTCTTTATTAATTATATATTTCTCTGGCATACCTTTTACAACATACCCCCTGGAAATTTACGATACTTTCCGGCAGGGCCGTAGCAACCAAATATTGCGTCCGGGGTGAAACTTTAAAATGCGTAATTAAGTATTTTAATTTATAAAAAAAACTGAATATTTTTTTAAAAGCAATATAAATAATGATTTTTCTTTATAAAGAAAGCCTTGTAAGTCTTTCTTAATTTGATTTAAATCAATAACTTATTAAAATATAAATATACATTATAATTATATGTAGGTACATAGTATAACATAATTAATTTATAAGTAATAAGTTATAACTATAACAATTAAATTGTAAATTTTTCATTTTTGCGCCCTCCCGGGAATTGCATCCGGGGCGTAAGCACCTCGATCCCCCCCTTGATACGACCCGGCCTTCCGAGATAGAAGGTCTGAAATACACTGAATGATTGATATACTGCAAATAAACAATTGAAACAGAAAATGAGGTGTAGGGGGGTAGGGAGATGAGAACAGAGAAATTTACTCATATATAATCAATATACATCTAACTTTTATAACTTTTAAGATAGCTTTTAAATAAATTGTCCCAAGGATCTGCGTAGGTATAAAAATTACCAACAAGGTATATAAGCAGTGCCGGATTACCCATTAGGCGGAGTAGGCGCTCGCCTTAGGTCCTCACACATTTAAGGAGCCCTGTGAAAACGGAAAACTAAATTTTTTTCATTTAATAAGACCTGTTATTTTATTTACGAATTTACGGGACAAAAGTCATTATGAAATATAATATATATTAAATTGTAGGTGTTATGTGCAGTAATAATAATAAAATTATTTTGAAAAAAATAAAAATAATATAACAATTCATTCATATTTCTTAAATTAATTAATTATATTTAATAAAAAAATTTAACACGATTTTATTTATTAATAATAGTTGGTTATTATTAAAGCTGTTTATTTTAATAATTGGATAGTAATATTAAAGATGTATGCAAAAAATAATTTTGTAAGGCCCAAAATTTTAATTGCCTAGGGGCCCACGAATATTTAACCCGGTACTGTATATAAGGCATATAATATATATGCAATAGCTTAATATAAATAATATTTATGTTTATAAGTATCTGAACTCAAGACATATAAAATATATTTTGTATATATTTTGGGGTATACATAAAAGTATTTATGTATATTTTTCCATATTGATAGTATTTTTTATTTGTATTTACAACTTAATCATTTTTATATTTTAGGGGATTTATTGGTGATCTTCCCAAAACATTTTATAGTAATCTACCTATGAGTATGGTGAGCATTAGTAATACCGGTGTAGTTCAGTATAACCACCGTATATCTCTAAATGCACAATGTGCAACTAATATTGAAAAATGGCCTTTTGATTCTCATAATTGCACTATCCTTATGGGATCTATGCTATATAATAATAAGTTCCTAAATTTTACGACGGTTCCAAGTAACAGCGGAGGTTTTGTAAGTAATTTTTACTTTTAACATTTTTATTTTTAAATAATATATAAATGGAGGCTCTATACAACAATTTTTAACTATGATTTTCGATGATGTATAAATATATATGATTGTATCTGTATGTATGTATATAATCAAAAAAAATAATTTAATTTAATTTCCTTAAAAATAAAGGTATGGTTATTAAGCTTCTTACTGATTGTGCATAGAGCCATCTCATTTTAACCAGGTAATTCATTTTAATATTATTTTTAATTACATACAGGATATGGATTATTTGAATTCTAATAGAGAATGGGAAATGAATGATATTCACCATGATTGTTATTTAATTTATTATCCCCTATCAAATTTTTCACATTGCATTCTACGATACACAATGAATCTAAAGCGATTTTCTTCTATGTACTCTTCGTCTGTTATTATTCCAGCTGTTGGTATGCATATTATACATTTATATCTATTGGCTGTAGTATGTAAAATTGAACTATTACCTTTATCTTTTTATTTAAATTTCAGTGATTTCATTGATGAGAACATTTACATTTTTAATGGGCCGTGAAACTTCACTTCGAATAACTTTATTATGTTTATTTTTCATTTCTGAATTGCTATTCCTACAATTCTTGAATATGAAATTACCAAACAATGGCGAATATCTTGTGTACATAGGTAAACGAGAATGGGAAATGGGTGCATATAAAAGAAAAAAACTAGACTTCAATAAATATTTTTTTACATTTCAGTTTTAATGTATCGTAACTCTTTAATTTTGACTGCAATAGCACTTATTATAAGTGTTATTAGTAATGAACTATACAAACGTGGTACAGAAGATTTTCCTAGTAAAAGTCCGGAATGGATTAAGTCTGTTTCAATATTTCTTTTAAATAAAAGACCAATTTCTGTGTTAACAAATTTTAACACTCAGGTAAGATAAGTAGTTAAATAACATTTTAAAATTATAATATTTCTATTGAGGACGATTGCATTTTAGGGAGCAGAACTTTTAATAGAATCAAACATGGAAAATGATGTTCCTAATAGTCAGAGAAACGAAAATGCTTTGATTTGGAAAACAATATCTATCTTATTGGATCGTTTATCTTTAATAATTATTCTCATAATTTCATTGATGAACTTTTGGTTTTTGATGCCTTAGTAAAAATTTACATTTCAAATGTTTGAATTTACCTATCAAACATCAAATGTGTGTTAATGCATTAAACTAAGTAATTACAATTGAAATATGTCATTTAGAACTACAAATGCCATGTCAGTTATTATTTATGAATTCAAAATTATAAAAAATATACATGACATTTATTATTAAGTATTAAATTGTTATTATCTAAAATTTTAAATCAGCTAAATATATATATTAAAAATCAAAAATCCAAGTCTATACAATGTCTATTTTTATTAAATTAATAAAAATTAAATATACATTTTTTATACTTGTATCTATACTTTTGTCTGTAAGTATCCATAATGATGACCATTGAATTGGCTCCCAAAATTAGGTTAGGTACCCAATCGAGAACTGAATTGACTCCCAAGACAGGTAATATTGAATTGACTCCCATTATAATTTTCAACAATCAGGGACGAACTGGGTTGATATTTCAGGCCGGGAATTTTTTTTGCCAGGCCAAAAATTAACAGGGGACCAACGATTTGGTCATAAGTAAGGCTCGGAACTTAATGCACTTAAAAAGTACTAAATACAGTGGCGTTTTCTCTGGGTGTGCAAGTTGTGTGTTAACGCCCTATAACATTAATATCATAACATGTGTGCAATATTGTAATTTGTAAATTTGTAATGCATATTACATAGTAATATAATTTTATTTACAAAACTTTAAATAATTGTCTTGTAGGTACTCTTCTCCATAAATAAAAATAATAATCAACTAATAAACTATTTTTAACTCGATATTCGACCGTGCGGCATGCACGGTCTGCAGCTACGACGCGCGATGGCGTGATTACGGAATATTATGTATTATGTCGTGTAAGACGTTAATGTTTTGAATAACGACTTGCGGTATCTAATATCCCATATTCGTAATTTGTCGGCTAACTTCGGTGCAATGTTAATACTAGACCAAGTCGTTGAAAATGAAATTAACGACCAGCCGCTAATAGCAGTGGTGGGAATCATCACGGCTGCACGTCGTGTACTCGCACTGCAACGCTGATCGCCGAAAACTTATTGTTTATATCTGTGCATCACTGCATCAGTATTGTACTAGTACTATTGTTAATTATTATTTACTATTTAGTTCTATCTTTTATGCATTTTTATTGCAATTGATTGATAATTCAAGACAGTTACTAGGTATTTATTTTTGTTTAAGATACTCTTGGTACTAATTTACAATACGTGTCTTATAGTAAACTTATTCCATATTAACAATATGTGTAACCGTAGCGAAGTTGTAAATCAATTAAAACAAAAATGCTTTTCAAGACTTTCATTTACTGAAAAAAAAGTTTTAGTTGAAAATGGTAAATCGTGTCCAGATCTTGACATTTTAACAACAGTAAAAATTAAAAAGACAACAGATAATACTCGACATTTTCGTAAAGAGCTTTATAATATATCTGATTGGTTATGTGGTTGTGAAATATCGAATAAATTTTTTTGTTGGTCTTGTTTACTATTTTCTACGAAAAAAACTGGAATAATCAAGGGTATGATGATTAAAATCATTTAAATACAGCTGTTAAAAAACATACTGAATAAGAAATTCATATAGGTGGATATTTTAAACTTAAGACATTTTTATCATCATCAACTGCTAGAATTGACACATCATTAGATAAACAAAGAAAAATAGATATTCAATTACATAATGAAAAAGCAGCAAAAAATAGAGAAATATTAAAAAGATTAATAAATGCAATATGTTTTTTAGCTAAACAGGAATTATCTTTTAGGGGACATAATGAAAACAAATATTCAGTAAATAGGGGAAACTATATGGAGTTATTGATTTCCACCCAAGAATTTGATCCATTATTACAAGAGCATTTATATACATCTACTATTTTTCGAGATACTTCTGTTTCCATACAAAATGATTTAATAAATTCAATTGCTGATGTTATTAAACATGAGATATTTAATGAAATTCAAAATACACAATACGTGGCAATTATGCTTGATGAAACAACTGATATTAGTAATAAATCACAACTATCGACAGTACTGAAATATTTTTCAAAAAACGAAAACAAAATTGTTGAACGTTTTCTTGGATTTGATGACATGAGTGCTGACAAAACAGCAACCTCTTTATTTAAACACGTTAATCGAGTAGTTGAAAAATTTAAAATTGAAAACAAATTAGTGGCACAAACATATGACGGGGCAGCAGTAATGTCTGGCCATTTAAACGGGTTGCAAAGTAAAGTATTAGAGAAATATCCTAAAGCTATATTTACTCATTGTTATGCGCGTGTTATTAATTTAATACTTCAACAATCATTAGAATGCAATAAGGAACTTAAAATTTTTTTTCAAGGTCTTAACTCTTTACCTGTATTTTTTTCTCACTCTCCTAAAAGACTAAAAGCACTTTCAGAATTTATGACCAAAAAGTTACCCACATTAGCTACTACTCGTTGGAACTTACTTCACAATTAGTTCATATAGTTCATAATCATTGAACATCATTAGTTGATTTTTTTATGTTTGTTTATGAAAGTGGTGATTTTGATAATGTTATTGGAATGACAGCAAAAGGATTTGCAAATTTCCTTCAAGAAAATAAAAACATTTTTATTATACAAATATTATCTAATCTTCTTATTTTTACTGACGTATTGTTCAATATTTTACAGTCAAAAAATTTTTATATTTTATTTTGTAGTCAAAAAATACTTGATTTTCAAAACCAATTATACCAAGAAAGCGAAAATTTTGATACTTTATGGGCATCATTTACTGAAAATGCTAACGAACTTTTTGTAAGCAATCGCAGGGCTAGACAAATAGAAACCGACAAAAAAGATTATTATAGACGTCTTTATTTTGATATTATTGACAATATACAATCTCAAATTAATATCCATTTTAAATCGTTTGAAAAATTGCAATGTTTTAACTTACTTAATCCTACGAAAATTAAATGCATTGCGAAAAAAAGATAATTTTCCATTTAATTTAATTAAAAATTTACAAGATATTTATGGCGATTTTTTCAACTATGGTAAACTATAAAATGAACTTCATGTATAGTACACCTTAAAGGAATCATCCGATAAAAGCTCTATTGAAATTATGAATTATCTTTCTGAAATGAGCTTAAACAGTGGATTTTCCGAGGTGTATAAGTTGGCTCAATTAATATCTACTATACCAACATCAACCGCTTCAGTGGAGAGATCATTTTCATCTTTAAAAAGAATCCATACATATTGTCGCTCAACTCAAACACAAGAAAGAATGAACAGCTTAAATGTAATATCAATAGAAAAAGAATTGGTTTTCAAATTAAGAGCAAACAGAAATAAATTTTATGAAGATGTTATAAACAAATTTACTGAAAAAGAGGGAAGAATCGAATTTGAATTCAAATAAAAATCAATCTATAATATTTATTAAAACATTTTCAGTTTGTATAATAATTTAATTTTATAAATATTTTATGTATTTTTAAAAACTTAAAAAGTATGTAAAATAAATAACTTTAATAACATGTTGATATTTAATAAAAATTTATTTTTCATAAGGGGGGGTCCTAATCAATCACACATTAACGCCTGACGCCGAAAGTCAGGAAACGCCACTGACTAAATATGCATGCACTTTTGTGCTTAAAAATTTAAAAATATACTCTAAAAATATGCACTTATATTTTATTTTTATACACAAAATTTTCATTTGCACCAATATTTTATAAAATTATAAATATAGAAAAAGCAAAGTAATAAAAATAATTCTGATTTTTAATTTTTTATCATAATTTAAAATAATAATAATAATAATAAAATAGCATTAAAAATGTTTCTTGAATAAAAAAATGCACTTGTAGAATGTTCAATAATCACTGAGTTATGTATTTATTTTTTTATTTTTCGAATTTTCATACCGAGTCTTCGAAAATCATAAAATATGCTATTAAAAATGTAAAATCAAGATATATGCTCTAAAATCTAAATATCAACAAGTATGCAAAAATATGACTTAAAACTTTTGATATGTTTTTCGTAGTCTTGGAACGAATTTATAACTCACTTAGCAATAAATCCTAAGATGCAAAAAAAACACGAATATGTAACAACTTCCAAGCCCTACTCATAAGTATGCAAAAATAATAATAATGATAGAAACCTTCATTATTTAAAAAATATTTTCAACAGATATGTAGATACATAAAATTACACATAATATATAAGAAATTTTTTTTACAGGTAGTGTATTAATTTTAATATAATACATATATATTAAAATTAACTCTAAAAGTAATTCCTTTTTTACATAATTAGGTTTTATTTCATAACTTCACTTGGTTCCCCAATTCTATCGATTAAAATATCGTAATATTATATTTTTAATTTCTAAAATATCAGGCCATTTAATCTATTGTAACGGTCACCGAGATTTGTCCTGGTGTCCCGCCAGGCCAGTTAGCTCCTTGTCAACAAGTGGTTCTCATAATATAAAAGTTCAAAAAGTACGCGACATTAAATAAAATAACTTTAACTATACATAAAATAATTTAAAATACAAATAGTCCATCAAAATTGTTAGTAAAAATGAAAATAAAAATGCATGAATTCAAAAAAATTCAATGACCTGCACAGTTTTAATATAATTTAGTATAGATTGTATTAATACGTCAATCATTGTGATCATTTAATACGTTATCGGATTAATGATTGAATAATTTCAAGACTAATCGGCACTGTGTCCCTAAAAATATTACAGTCGCGTACTTTTTCAACTTTTATATTTTTAATGTATAATTAAATTTTTTTTTTAAAACAATTTTGATAACCAATGGATTTATTAAATAAATGTGTAGGGAGCCAACTCAATGCACAAATCTTGGGAGCCAATTAAATACGTAAAAATTAGGATCACCTGAGATAGAAAGCCTATTCATTAGCTCCGTCTATAATACTTTAAGAGCATTTAAATGCTAAGTATTCAATAAGGTATTTATTATAATTTAAAGTAGCAATATTAATTAAATATTAATACTTTTTTGTACCTAGGTCCATGATACAGAACACAGGTTCAAAATATAAGAGTATTTAAAAGTAATATTAATATTTAACATCTTAGACGAAAGACAGATATTTACGTAATTTACATTTATAAAAATTATTCTATTTGATGAAATGAATAGTTTTAATCAACTACAATACATATAAATTATTTTAAACTGATGGAAATCAATAAAATATATTTAAGAGTATACAAACAGAAATACAATACAAAACAGGAAAATTCATGGGAATTATTATTGAAATATTAAGGATAATACATAAGAAATATGGAGGTTTTTAGATCCTATATATTACGATTGTTTTATAAAATCATATAGAAAAGATAGACGTAATATTTAGGTAGATTCTCAAAAACTCAAAATTGCCTATACTGAAAAACGGAACTACACTGTTATTATGTATATGATCCCAATATAAAGGTATTCGTAGTGCACGTTCACGCCACTAACGACCTAGCTATCAACTTGAAAAAAAAAAGGATTAATTATTTTACCATTGGATTAGTGATAAGGACGACCACCAAAGAGGATATATTAGACTACAGTGGTAAGCTGCCAGCAACAGTGCTTCCTGTACTCTGCGGTCCTGCTGGAGGCGTTAATTCCCCTCCGCATCCATTCCATCATGGCCTCGATGGTGGTTCGCGCCGCCGTGAGCCTAATATATTGAACCTCGTGTTGACGGATTTCGGCCATTGTACACAGAAAATAGCGGAAAAGTTGATCGAAAAACGACCTACGTACGGTACGATGAAGACGACCGTCAATCGAATTCCACGCATGCCAATCGACGAACACGTTTATGCGCACGATACAAAATCGTCAGCAAAATGATTGGCTAATGAAAAATAACCGACGCTGATCATCGTTATTGTTTTATCAACCAGCGTTGTCCCCAGCACATAATAGATATAATAATATTAATAATTATAATAAATTTAAATCAAAGTTCGTCCAGCTCAGTCGTCAATCGCAATACCATTATCGTTTGCCATAGGGTGTTTCATCCCAACCGGTTATTATTATTTCAATACACCAGAGCGCATTGCATAAGTGCACTATCTGCCGCTGGACGTCGCGGCGCACAATAATATTCTCTCAGCTAAACATTATTTTTGACAACGCTCCTCCGTCCTCCCTGTTATCAGGCGCGCGACGCGTTGTTTTTGTGTGTGCGTGACCGATCGCGTCCATTTACCCCGTATCTCTGAAACGATATTATAATCGTATGTACATTGTACATACATATATGCACATATACACAATCGTTCACATACGCGTGCGCGTGCATTTATATGTATATGCATTGTATTTATTTTATTTACATATCTGCATATAATAGACGAGCATTTTGTTTTTCGTTCCTATAAAAAAGTTAATAAAATGAGCATTACTGTGGCAGTGAATGCTACGGATAGTAACAACGGACCGCAGGCCGTTTGTCAATCGGCGCAGCACAACAATTGCAGCGAGTATAACGGCGGCGGCGACGGTGGTGACGACATGGCTGTTTTCAATCACGAGCAAGACCAACACGAACAGGTAGATATCATTACTATTAATGTTATAGAAAATGAACTTCACTTTCAGGCCTAGGTGTTGGGTTTTTATAATATGTCGAAAACAAAAAATATTTACACATAACAGTTAAATATTTTAATTAGGCTTATGTATGCGCATATTGCTGTATCTTGTCGGTTTTATATCTTATTGATCATTTGTGCAGTTTATGAATTCATAATAATTCCAATGGCTTTATTAATGGATTTCAAAACTGATATATTATTGGTAATTGACCAATAATTGAAAAAATTATTTAAATTTAAATAAATAAGTTGAACAGTTTCACTATAAGATGTTTTTTTTAAATATTATCTATAACCAGTTTAAGAATAGTTAATGTTACTTATTTTCTGAACGGTCTATATAGTAATTTGTTGTTATAATACAAATATAATGTAGAGTTAGATAATGTTTTCAGCAGCTTTGTCACTTTATCATGTAAATGTTAAATTTCCAAACACTAATTTATTATTAAATATATACAACAAAGTAATCAAACATAAAAACTATTTTTGTATAATTATTTAATGGACATTTGTATATCTACTACAATTGAATGAACTTTACATAGTCTAAAACAGTTTTTAGTAAATTGTGCAGAAAAACATGAAAATTGTAAAATTTCAACATATACTTGCATTTTGTAATATATATTGCCATAGTTGTTGGTTATAAATTTTACCAGGTGGTAAAAAAAACAAAATATGTAGATGATTATGACATTGAATTTATAAAACTTTTTAAACACATTTATTTTATGATTATATTTTTATGATTACAATTGTTTCAAATGTAAAATTGATAATAAAAGAATAAAAAATGTTAATTACAGGTAGGCCTATTAGAAACTTTATTATTGATACTGTCTCATTGATAATATTATTAATTTAAATTGTTGAGAGAAATATTTTTATTCTAAATTTTATATAGTAGGTAATTTTAGTATTTGATATTTCATTTTTGGGAAGATTTTTAATGAATCATTTACAATTTTTTTTCACATTGACTATTTAAATGCAAAGTGATAAAAACGTTATTACTTATATGGTTCAAATTAATGGGTTTTTTCAAATATTTAAAAACAAATAGTATTAAATTATACATATCAAATATATTATACTAATACATTTACACACTAGTTGAAAGACTACAGGGAAAAATAATAATAGTTAATATTCCTAAACTGTTTATTATTGCAGTTAAAAAGTTTCAGAACTCAAAAAACTAGAAGAAATAAAGTACGAAATAATTTAAAATTATTTATTGTGGTAAAACAATTAATTTTTGATATATGAATAAAAAAAATTGAATTTACTTTTTAAAATAATTAAATGACAATAATTATTAGATATTTTTCTTTTTTTACCTATTATTGTTTTTTTCTGTAACTTTTCAGTTATTAACTATATGTAATTCAATTATAAAATACTCATTAATTTAATTGGATTTTAGTTTGAAAAAGATTGCAGAAACCATTCAAATCAGAAGGACAAAGATTGTTGCTATTCTTACCATGAATATATAGGAAATACTGAATTGAGGTGATTAATTAATTTAAAATATATACATTTCTGTACATGTATTAATATTTTTAAAACTTTTTAGTGAGGATAATGAAATTCAAAAATGGGAAGGTAAATGGAATTCTCTTATGTCCTATATCCGTACAGTATATCGAATGGCTATGGATGGTGTAGAAGTTGAACGTTATCCACCACATAATATATTTAAGGAAGCAGCTTATGAGTATAATAGAATATTTATATATTTTAGTTAAAAGAGTTTCTAACTTCTTGTTTATATTCTAGATCTAAAAGTTGTGATTCATACCATGTATTTCAAAATGTTGAAAATCTTGTTATGGAATTTGTATTAGAAGCTAGGGCTAGACAAGTTCAAATACTCGAAAAAAATAACAAAGATAAAACAGAAATGCCTCAAGTTTTTGTATTTTGTAAGTTTCTTAGTATTATTATTTTCTTTTTAATTACTCAATAAATATAAAATATATTTTAAATGTTTTCTGATTATATAGGTTTATTGGATAGTTATAGAAGGCTAATGGCAGCTACTGATCATTTAAAAGATGTTATTAAACCTATTGAAGAATATCATTTATCGAAATTTAATTTATCTTGGCGAATGATGAATCAATATTTATATCACAGTCGACTTTATGCTGATAGAAAGATATATCACCTTGTTACTACTTTTATAGAACAAGTATGTTTTGAAATCTATAATTAAGGTTATTTATTTATATTCATTAATAAATTTGTTTATAGATTTTATCATTGTCAATATTATCAAAATCTATATTAAGTGCAAATTTAATTCATGATTATACTAAATTTGTAAAAGAGGTAAACCATAACATATCTGAATGGGCTGAAACAAGGACTTGTATTCATAATATCAAGTACAAACCTAAAAAAAATATTTTTTGATACAGATATTTTCTTTAATTCATTTAAATTATTAGGTGCAATGATTTTTTGGGAGCGAAAAAATATAAAGAAACTATAATTAAAGAAGAAAATGGTTTGTATCCTCTTTCACCGCCCTTACATGATGATTTTGCAATAGATCTTACTATTCCAACTCCACCTCAATCACCAGCTCCTGAGTACCAGTTAATTATATTAATTCATCTTTATAAAAAATCATATAATAAACAATATTTTATCATTTTTAGGGAAAGTGTAGAAACTGATGAATGTGAGGATATTGATGATGTTAAACGTTCTAATTATTGTGATTGTATACATGATCACCCTACTGTAATTATTATAATTTTTCGTTTTGTTTTTTTAGTAAAATAATTAATTGTTATTAATTTTAGATGAATTCTCAACCAAATTCTTCTGTAGATATGCACCTGTATGCTCATAATGAACAATTTTCTAATTCACAAGACAATTCAGAAATAAATTCACTTACTTTTTCATACTCTAGTATGAAAGATAAAATGCTGTTTTTTTATAGCACTGAAACATTAACAGATGAAGATGAAAAGATAAGAAATGTAACCAAACATCTTGTTAAAAAGGTAAATTCATTTTAATTATTTGATGTTAATTTTTGTAAAATCCTATATTTTTGCATCATAACTATATTAATTATATAACCAGTGTAACTTCTGTTAACAGTCACCACTGTATAACAATATAATTTTTTATCATATCAAGTATAACGTAGAAATAATTACTTCTATTGGAGTTTTATTTTTACCTATTGGTTATTTTCCCTGATCTGTTTGGTAACCGTAATATAGACATTTTACTGTACTAACATTTAATTTTTTTCATAATTCAGTGAAAGTATTTTAATATATACAGTGTGTAGCAGAAAGACTAAATCAGCATAAATTGCAAAAAGGCAGTCAAACATTCATTATAACTAAAACATAATTTATATGTGTTTTAATTGGTGTGGTAAATAATGATTGTCTATCTTACTATATTTATTGGCTTAGAATTTCTATTCATACTGTGTATATATATATGGATTTAGAAGCTAAATGTATTATATTTGATATGTTAGTCATTTTGTTATAATAATTAATTTTTCAAAATATTTCCAAATAGTATAGCATTATGAAACTGCTTATATATTTTATTTTTCATTAAAATTTAAAATTTATATTAATAGTTTTATTTATTTAATCTGTTTTATTAATTAGAAAATCATTTTAAACTTTCTAAGGTTCTTAATTCAGATGCTCAACTTAAGTCAAAAACTGTGGTAAAATGTCCATCAACTATAGACAAAAATGGGATATGTAAAATAGAACTGGAACAGTTACCTAAACGACAATATCCATATCCACATGTTAGTAAATCAACTGAACCAGCATTAAAACCAAATAATCGACAGGTTCATGGCCATTCATGTCATAAACATACTGAACATGTGAAACGTATGCATCATCATGATGAAACATCGGAATGTAGTTCAGGACGATCAAGTCAAGATGATAGTTGCTCTGAACGTTCTTCTTCAAGTCCAAGGCAATGTGATTGTTGTTATTGTGAAGTTTTTGGGCATGGAGTTGTGAGTATTAAGTTATTAATTTTAATATAAAAATTTTATCTTATGTTTTATTATTATTGTTCTATTTCTTGTATTTTTCCTTTTAATAGCCATCAGTTGCACCAGTTAGTCGAAATTATCAAGAAATGCGAGATCGATTAAGAAACCTTTATTTATTAAAAAAAGCTAAACAAAATGGTCATTCTAATAATGATTCAATTAAACATAAACAAAAAGAAACTAATGTTCATAGATCACTTCCTGTTCATTCTCCTACTCAAGTTTCTCAATCCAGTGATAAATTCGGTATGTGTATAATATGTTATTTGTAAGTTTATGAATATATTTTTAACTTATGTGTGTGTGTATTTGTGTTCATTCATTTAGGCAATATCTTAGCTTTTTGATGTTGATTTTATCAAAAATATTAATTTTACCTAAACATTCATGGAAATCCTTTAAAATATTTTCATAAATAGCACATTTTATAATATTTTCAATTGGCAATATCTATCTTTGATTAAATATTTGGGTTAATTTTCGAGTATTTTATTTCATAAATAAATTGAATTTAAATATATTAGACACATCTTAAATATTATAATAGTTAAACTATTATAAATCTATTCATATTTTTAACTATAGATTGATTCTTAGGGTCAAATATATACTTCTTACATAATTATAATTATTTCTTCAGACCTCAAATATTTGATCACTTATTATTATTATTATTATTATTTTTTTTTTACAAATTAAATTACATAAATAAAAATAAATAATATAACATCTTGTTGACAATTGTATTATTTTCTTATTTTAATTTAACTTATTTTATTGTTAGTAATTGATTTAAAACTGTTTCAAATATTGATTAATATATTATTGTTTTTATAATATAATGTTTGATGTATAATATATGAATTTAATTTCATTAATTTAGGTGCTAATAAAAGTGTTCAACTAAAAAAAAAAGAAGAATCAACGATAAATTCTAATATAAATGATAAAATTAAACTAAAAAAAGATAACAATCAAGAACTATTTGATAAACCTATTGATGAATTAGTTAATTTTATTGAAGGAAATAAAGCGACTAATGAAAAAAGAGCTGCTAAAAAAGCTAGGCGTAGAGAGAAAAAAGTATGTTTTTAAAACAATTTTAATTAAATATATTCATATTAATTATTTTTCATTAGGAGGAAATGGAAAGGATTAAAAAAGAAGAAGAAGCAGAACGTAAAAGAATAGAAGAAGAAGAACATAAAAAACAAGAAATCGAAAAGATAAGACGTGAAGAAGCATTAAAAAAAGAAAAGAAAAAAGGAAAAAATCAAAACAAACAGCATAAAAATAATCAACAAAAACAAGCTACAAATTCTAAAACCCAACAAACTGCCAAACAACAAATACAACTAAATAATACTCAGTCGTCTAAAAAGAAAATCGATCAATCACAGAAAAACAATAAAGAAACTGTAATAACAAAAAAAGATGTTAAATGTAAAAACGATAATGTGGAAGGTGCCAAAATGGTAACAATAAAGAGAGATTCTGATAGTGCTAAAGTAACTATTACTTTTAGAGGAGCTGTAGAAGAAGATGTTGTATGCACTCTATATGATAATGAAGGTAAAAAAAATTTAGTTTTAATTTTAATTTTAAAAGAATGTTATTTATGTATATATTATATTATACAACTTAAATCTGATGGGTTTAAATTTAAAATCTGAACTTTTATACTTTTTCTTTTGTCTTTACAAGTTTTTATCGTTATCACAACTTCACGTCATTTCTGCCAATCATAAATTATATTTCTTCAATCATTCACTCGTATCTGTTTTAAATCTTTCTTGACTAAGTCCATTCACTTGAACTCCTTGTGGCTTCTTCTCTGTCGGATTTTTTTTTTTTTCAACTTATCTTAACTCATATCCAGGGCTCGTAAGTTCATGCCCTAAAAAATTCCTAAATAAGCATGCATTTATGCACTTAAAATTGGCATAATATGTTTTGAAATATGCCTTAAAAAATTAAAAAATATCATTTATATCCACTAAATCATAGGTTCCCATAGTGTGCGCCGTGGTGCCCCGGTGCACCGCGATGTCTGTATAAGGGTGCCGCGCTGTCATGAAATACTATCAGATCTAACATTTTCCATATGATTAGTCATGCTATGACTTAGAGAAAGGCGCCCTGAAAAAACCTTAAATCATAAAGGGCTCCGTGAGTCGAAAAAGTTCGGGAAATACTGCACTAAATATCTAAAATTATGCACTTAAAAAAATCATAAATATTTTTTGAAATAGCATGAACTATCCATTCGTTGTTTTTATAGCTATATTTAATTTTTTATGTCAATTAAAAAAAATAGATTCTAAGTACTATTTAATACTATTCTTGAGCCTTCATGAACTGCGTATATTGTATGTTACTTTGTCAGTAATTCATTTTAAATCTGAAACTTTTGAAACAAATTTATTCATTACATGTACGAGTATCAAGATGATAAGAAAAGATAATACAATTTCTATTTTTAATTTTATATATATTTTTCATTTAAATTTTTGATAGATTTTAATAGAATTTTGTATAATTTGTCCGATAAAATTAATAATTTACAAAAACATGCCAAATATGCAAAAACAAGCAAAATAAGATTTCACTTATTTAACTGTGGTACCTTGAAATGGATTTCTATGTCATCTAGCATTAAATACAACTTTGCAAGATTGATATGCAAATGCATGAACTTAAGAGCCCTGTTCATATCTATTACTGGTTAATAAAAAATGAATTATGAGTAAATTCACTATATTTTTGTATTTAAAAATCTATAATTTTTTCAATTTTAATAAAGGATGGGCCGATACTATTTTTTACTGATCAATATAAAACCAATACCTCAATATAATAATCACAAGTAAAAACTAAGTTGATTTTTTATATAATACATAAAAAAATCAACTTTTTTGGCAAAAACCATGAACCAATACTAAAAATATTTTTTGTGGTATCGGTTCAATTATTTTATTTTTGAAAATAAACCAATAACAATATTTCCAATACTAAGTATCGGTTCTAGGATCGGCCCACCTCTAATTTTAATACTTGAAACTTGAAAATTTGATTTAAGATTTTTTTCATAGTCATTATTAACTTTTTTTTTTTGTATTCATTATTTTAACCAGTAGAATTGCTCAGAATATCATGATCATAAGAGTTTTCTGAAAATGTCTTGTGAAATGTTATTTATTTGGTGCTTTTATGGTGTCATCTTACAAAATTCTTCATAGATTTCTAAATAATTGCAAAAACTTTTTTTTCATTAATAGCTACTAGTATAAAATTATGATAGTTCAACAATAACAAATATTAATACATAAATATTTTATATTTTTAAGTCATAATATAAAATAAACTACTATACATTTTTATAGTAATTTTAGATTTAGTATTAAGTATGAAGTGGAGATTAAAATAAATGTTGAACATTTTAAGAAAATTTATTAAGATTTGGTGTTAAGCCTGATGAGGAGAGCAATAAAATTAAATATGTTGAAGGTTAGATACATTAATTTAATAGAAGTGTACAGAATGGAGAGTCATTTAAGCTAAGTTTAAATTAATGACTAGGTAATAGGTTGTGTGCCATACGTAAATGATTAAATTAGACAATATAGTATGGTTTACGTAGATGTAATTTATTGAACCATGTTTTTTTAAGGACATAAGGAGTAATATTTTTATATCTAGAAGCGAAATTCTCAGGTAATTTATTTCAGTGGGAGAATCATAAATTGGAAGTATAAATATTTATCAAAGGGGTAAAATCAGATTGAGGAAGTTGAATATAAGTAGGGCAGGTTATATTTGATATAGATTTGGCTAGTTTATCAGCAACCTTATTGCCAAGTATCCCAGAATGACTGGGAATCCAAATAAAGTGAATATTATTATTTAATTGATTTAAAGAGAAAACAAGTAACCTAATGCGAAGAACGAGTGTCGATAGACGAGAATTTAATTGGTTAGAGTTTTAAGCTTCAAGGCATAAGATAGAGGATATTAATTAATTATTTGGAGCAAAATTGAAAATTAGTGTTAAGGCTTCAATAATGGTATAGCACTCCGCCGAGAAGGAAGAATGGGATGAATGGGTAGATTATTTATAAAATTAACATGTAACTCTGGAATATAGAAAGCATAGCCGGTAAAAAGGGGAGACAGTGATCCATTTGTATAAACAGCGATGAAATTTAAAAAGTTAAAAAATAAAACTGTAAAATGTACCATTCTTTTATTCACCTGACCATTTTTACTTAAAATTGTTTTTTATTTTTATTTTTCAAAAACAATGGTACGTTAGTTTTTAATTAAAAAAAAAAAAAACCCAATACAACAATATTATTCACTCAAACGTGAAGGTTTCACCTTTTTTTTTAAATTACACTCTGTATTTATTTGATACATATAAATGTTATTATAAACATTTATTTGTTTTATCAATTAATTTATTTATTGTATGCAATCATGTTTTTGTATATTATATTTTTTACATTAAACATATTTTTAATATTTAAATTATATTTTTCAGCTATTAAAGCAATTCAGAGATTATGTGATAAAAATAAACAACCACAAGATCAAATAGAAGAAAAACCTATCAAAAAAAGAAGTAGGAACCGTAAAAAGAAAGTAACTGAACAACTTGAATCTAAACCTCAACCTAAACCAGTTGAAAGTGTATTAATTACTAATAAAAATGCTCCAAAACTACCAACAAATATGAAATGGTATTGTTCACCAGATGTAAATATTACACCAGTGCCAAGTTCAACAAATTCTGTGCAGCCTCAATCTAACACTGTTTTAATAAAACGAACTAATAATAATCAAGTGTTTACACGTTCAATGCCACCACCTTCTCAGCCAATGCCACTTACAAGTCCAACAGCTATACAAATAAATGAGGCAGTTAATAAAATATGTTCATCTACAGCTCCTATTGATATTGATAAACTACAGTTACCACCTAGTATTACTATTACAAAACTTGATCCTTGTGACTATAAACCACCAAGAGACATTCAACAATCATCTGAGAAGGTAAATTTTATATAAAAAAATAAAAAAAATATGATTCATGTTTTTAAAACAATTTATTAATTTTTATTTATTTTGGAAAATCTAGTCTAAACCTACTGGATTACAATTTCCATTTGCTTCACCCACTGTAGTGACACCTCTTACAATGCAACAAAATGCTCAAAATATTGTAGTTAGGACTGATGGATATGATTATGAGGGAACAACAGGTAATTAATTAGTAAATAAAATGTCTTAAAAATCAATATCTATTTTTGGTTTAATAAAATAATAGAATGTGACTCCCATGTAACTGAAATTTATTGGAAAATGTAGGGGTAGATAGGTGATTGCTGTGAAGTATAAGTTTTGGTTACTATATAGTTCTATTATCTCTTTGAACCAAATATATCTATCTCCTAATTTACAGTCTGCCCTATTTTAAATATAAGTTTATTTGCGTTCTACCTTTATTTTATGTATTGAAAGTTAATAGTTTTAAAATGGTTTTTATTTTTTTAAACATAATCTGTATTCAATTTTAAAAATACTGTGAGAAACTTTTGCATTTTCATTGCCTTAAAAAGTTAAAGTTCTTAAAATTCTATATCATGTTTGATCTTTTTCTGTTTCTGACATTTTTATGGTGTAAATATTTAGTAAATATATTTTTGCTTATAGAATGGAGTGGTGCAGCAAGTAAACGTCACAGGCGCCGCAAGAAAATCATAGGAGGCAATTTAGATGATTCAAATTCTGAAAATATTCAACCAGGTTATACAATTACTAACAAAACAACAACAAGAGATCAATGTAATGAAGAAGGTAAGACCATCGCTGGACAAATTCCAACTAACACACCACGATCTATGCCGCTGCCAGTGATTATTCAAAGGCATGGCGGTATGGTTACTATAAGAAACCCACTGTACCAGCGCAATGATGATGCAATCCTGACTGAAAATAATGATTCACGAAATGACGGTGGCGACGACGATGACGCCAATCCATCTGGTAAGCGGAGACGTCGCCGCCGTCGAGTTAAGGGCGGCTCCAAACAGGCGGATGTTGAGGGTGAGCTTTGCTGATGTCTTCCTTTATTTCCTGAAAATGAAAAACCCTCGTTTATTCATGTTTCTCCTATGTTAAATGTTGTGATAAAGCAACTAGTTTACATTACATTTTAAATCAATATAACTATCACAAAGTAATATTATATTTGTATAAAACAGTTTTAATTTTTAAAACTTTTTTGTAAATAATTGTTTTTATGTTTTTCCTTTACATGAATTAATAACATACTCTTATAAAATGACTGGACATTTCGTTAAATTTGAGTCCTTAAGTAATACTATTTTGTTAAATGTTTTAACTGGAAGGTTGGAATTTGCATTATGAATTATATTATATGAATTCCATGTTATAAATATCATTTTCTTTATTTTACTATGCATTTTTTCAAGATTTCTCCTGTGTACCATTTCTATCAGATCTGATTATCAATACTGTAAAAATTGGTTTTTTATTCTGAATTATTTCTTATTACTCATTTAAGTTTTTTATCACAAATTTAATTAGTTTTGTTAGACCCTATTGTATTCAATATTATAATTTATTGAAGTATGTATGGTAAATTGTTCTTGAAACATTTTTTTCACGTGCATAACTTTTAAACCATTTTTTAGGTTTTGGTTGTTAATGAAAAATGGTCTTGCTTCTAATACATGTCAATTATTTTAAGTAGAAAGTTGTATGATAAAATAATTATTTTTCTACTGGAACATAAATTAATAATTTTATAAATAAAATATGCCATACTTATTTATTAATTTCCAGTTTCAGTGAATACAAATATGTACTTAGATAACATATTGTATATATATATTTTTCAAACATATAAAACTACTTTTAAATTTAACAAAAATATACAATCAATGCTTCAATTAACAAAAAAAAAAAGTATTATTAGTGTATTAAAAATAATATACAATTGTTACATCACTAATAATATTAGATAAAAATATTAAACACTATAAATCTTATATTATGTCTACCTCAATTATGTGATAAATAGATTATATTTTAAGATATTAACAATGAGTACAAAATATGCGTCCAATGAAATGTAAATAACTTAGGCTTGAATTATTCTGCTTTTTATGGTGATGGCAATAGTCCTGATAATTAAGTTGAAAACTTGTTGCATGCTTGTTTTTGCAGCTTTATTATTATAATTATTATTATTATTTTATTATTATTATTATTATTACTATTATTATTATTATTATTATAATTATAATTATTATTTTTAATTAATTAATTTTCTTTTGCTTTTATTCGTGTTGATTTGCCTTAGACTTTTAATTATTTTTTAATGAAAATATTGTATATGGATAATTTGTGTAATTTTTCTATTAGTAATGACAATTTATTTTATTTTTATTTCACAATGTTTGAAGTTTGAACATCGGACATAAAAATATTAATTTAATATTATATTTTTGTTGTACTTAAATTAACACAAATAGTGTTTAATATCAATCCAATTTCAAAATATAATTTATTTTTTGTTTTTTTATTTTATTATTTTTTTGTTTTTTTTTTTTTTTTTTTTAGTAATACTTAAACAAACCAAGATCATTATTCTTTAGGTAGCTCTAGAAGTCTGCTTATACAAATTGAGTTTTCTTTTGTTTTTTATTCATTGTGAAAACAATTGTTGACAATTATATATATTTTATCTAAAGTATTCTTACTTTTTATTTCTTTGTAGGCTTTTTTTTTTTTTTTACTTACAAGCATTTTCCTGTAAAATAATTAACCGCTATTAATAAAAAAATAAAAAAATAAAAAAATAAATATATATAAAAATCCTTTTATACAATATATAATTTGCTTAATGGTTTTGGATTTCACACTCGCACGTGTTGATATTATTCTATTATGAATATATTATTTTTGTACAAATTCATTAAGCACATTGCTTGTGTGGGGTCTATTAAGATAATTCCAAATTATTTTGGACCGTACTTTCTCGATCATTAACTAATATAAATTATTAAATATAATATATCAACTATCCCTACAAATAATATTTTATAGTAAATTATGTTAAACTTATAATTATTACAAGTATATTAATATGATAAGTATCATGTCATGAAGTTATTTTATTAGCACAACCATAACTTTTTGAGAACATAAATCTAAACTATTTTTAAGCAGTGCAAGATTTATTAAATGTAATAAATATAGCATTATTATGTATTTAAAGTAAGATCGAGAAAGTAAATCTCCAAAAATGAGTGTGTTTGTGGCCGTTTGCAGAAAGCGTGTTCGAGCCAAAAGACATAGACCTGGAGGATGGGGAGATGGATGATGATGAACGAGAATTAGAAGCATTTAAGCGGTTTTGTTTGCAGTCAGTACCTCCACAACGCAAAGAAAAGGTACATCTGAACATCAAGGACATTGTTTTGAAGAAAAAAAGTACTGCCGCGGCAACAGCTGCTGCAGTTGGATGTGTGTAACATTTAATTTTGCTTTTTTTTTCAAATATGTTGTGTTCTTAAATCCCTCATTTTTTCATTACCAACTGTAAAATTGTGCAGTGTTTTATCATCGTCTCTCTTTTGAAAAACATATTTTCCTCCTTTTTTTTTACTCATCGGATGTGATCCATGTATTAAGTTAAACTTACAATTAAGTAATTTTTAAAGTATAGACCCAAACTCAAATTTTAAATTTTTTTTTTTCTAAATGTTACTATGCATGATATAATTTGTGCTCTCTTATTGAAGTTTCAAAGAAATGTAGAACCAAAACCATTGAGCACATTTAAAATTATTGTATAATATTATAATAAATGGTATTAAATCTATATATATATATATATATATATGTGTGTATATATGTATATTGTATATTAAAAATTTATATATTACATATATACATATATATATATATTTATAAATATTTATTTATTTATATATATGTGTATTTATATACTTACATCAACGCCTGTTATTAGTATTATATTAAAAGTCAACAATTAAGAAAATAATTATACTTGGTGTAAATATATTTAAAATACCCTATTATGTTATGTGTGTATTTACATGTTTTATACTCTATAATTTATTTATTCATCTATTATTTATTCAATGTTAAACTTAAATATTAATAATAGTTTCAATCTCATTAATAATTATTAAAATATTTAACACATATAAACAACCAGTCTTAAAGACTTGACAAGTAATCAGAGTTCACAACTAGAAAAAAAGTGTTACATTTTAAATATTAATTTAACTTTAGTGTTATAAGTTCTGTGAATGTGTTGATGAATCATAAAGTTAAGTTCTTTAATACTTCAAGAATTCTATTAACCGTATTCAAAAATTGTAATTTCTACCTATAACAATTCATCTCTTAAAAGATGAAATAATAGCAGGTATAGTATTGTCAACGCAGTGGCGGTCAAATGATTTTGTCATGGGGGGGGATGTGGCTGATTTTTTAATATGCACTACTATTAATCATTAAAATATAATTTATGGTTATGCCTAATATCAATTTTTTTAAATTCAGGTAAATCGTTACTTTATTTATAGCATATAGGTAGGTATACAATATTACTAATATTAACAATATTTGTATTATATTATTAAATCTATTTTTTTGTTTTTTTTTGCTAATTCATCCAGCACTTAATTGGATGTTATATTTATAATTCCCCGATGAACAGCCATAGTGGCCAAACCATTGAGACGACTCTAGAATAATAAAATTACACAATTAACAAATATATATATATATATATATACATTATCACAATCACAATTTATAGCAGTCATAAAAATATATAATGCGCACACAGTATGACTGTACGCGACACGAGTAACGGGACGACAGTTAACACTGTGGTCTGTGTAACAAAATATTGCGACAAACGTAATAATAATCGACGAATTTGGCCAACTATAATGACATAGCTACGTATTATTTACCGATGGGCCGGTCAAGGGAGGAGTGTGTTGTTATTCACGATCACCGAGCTAGGTAATTCCCGTATATTTTGTATAAGCAACTAATTACTAAATATTAATAATAATAACAGCCTTGTTCCTAGAACGAGTCTAGAATCTAGATAATAATATACGCTCATGCCTCATAAGCGTTATTTTAAGAAAAATTAAAACAAAATGTAATACATTAACATTATTATAGTACAATAAACATAAATGTAATTGTTATAAATATAAAGGAAAAAAAAGCCATAGGGGGGGGGATCTATCCCCCTCATCCCCCCCCGTTTGACCGCCACTGTGTCAACGCATTAATTTTCTACACATAAACTTTCATTCAAGTGTTCTAGCTAGTTATCTATGGATAATTACTTAAAATGTTATGTCAGATTTAAACATTTAGATTACTACTATTACTATATTTTATTTTTGTTTGCAAGTTTCAAATTATTTTAGTAGCTCTATAATTATCTAATAATAGGAACATATTGGTGATATATTCTGTGCACATTGTTAAATATAGTGATACTCGTGTTGGATTATAAGCATATATACATTTTAGGTTCTAAATGTATTAAATTTTATTGTACAGTTTAGAATTATTCAGGGGCATTATTTGGGGGGGGGGCAGACTATGGCAAATTCCCCACTATAAGAAATTTTAAAAAGTCGGGAATTCTTTGTCCATTGATCAAATGCTAAAGTTAGTAAAAATTAAATTTTTATTTACTATTTTGTACTTAGAAATCAGATAATATTCTCTTTTAAATACGATTTATTAAAAGTTGGGAAACACTGACTCCTCCTCGGTTTATGACAATCGTTATTACGCGAACCTTATGAACTTTATTTTTGGTATATTATATATTTCTATATATGTGATCTTTATAAAACAGTTTCTGTGATATCAATACCATAAAAATTGAGGTCAGAATCTATAAGAAACCGTTATAATCGTTCATATTCACCCCAAACTACGGTATACATTATAATTGAGATACAATTTTATGTTTTTATAAATAAGTTCTATAAAGTATTAAATATACAAATAATAAAATTATAAGTATTTATTATTATTAATTTTTTTTTTTTATTTGCCTTTGTTCGCACATTACAGCAAAGCGAAAGTATTTAAGTAGATTTATATTATTATTCGATTAAACCTATTGAAACGTTTCATGTTCTTTGTTTATCATCATGACATCATTATTCATAACTAATCCTTACATGTTTTGTTCCGAAAAAATATTTTATTGATAGTCTATTATCCATACATATTAAATATTTAAATATATAGGTAACCATATTTTTTTAAATATTATGAAGTCGTAAATTTAATCAGTTGCCCTACCCATTCAAAAGTTTAAATAACGCCCTTGGAATTATTGACCTTGTGTGTTTGAATTAATCCAACTAATTTATTACACTATATTTCTATAAAATTGATCATTCTGTGATTTATTTCATGAGTAAAATTATTTTGAAATGGTATTGTGGTATTATGAATTAATGTGAAGTATCTTTGCAATAATAGATTACCAAAACCGTTGAAATGATAGGTTAGGTTTCAATTAAATTATCAGTATATAGGTTAATAATTTTTATAAAAACAAAATAGTTAAACAGGTTTACAAGCAAGATGTTTTGTTAAAATAAAATAATTCATTCAAATAGTTTAATATAATGATATATGCACATATGATACATGGTTATTAAGTTTTTGTATCCATTCTTAAGAAAATTTGATCATTTACTTATGTTCCCGTTTTGTATGTTTGTCAGACAGACAGAAATTAATTGTTTTCAATTTTCTTAACAATATAAATAAAAATATATTTTTAAATCTATGCGTATACCCATAAAATAAATTTTAAAATTAATATTTTATCTAAATCTTTTATTAGAAGTACCTATATGAATGAAGATAAATAATATATATATATATATAGATGAAAAAGCGTTCGTTAGAAGCAATTGATACAAGTACAGTCATGAGAATTGAAATAATATTTACTGTATTTAGAAAAAGAGGGCACCCAATTTTTAGCAATATTTTTTTTTGAAATCGTGTATTTTTTGACGAAAAAAATCGTAATAAAATCAGAAATTGGAGGTGTGGCTTTGTTTCGAAGTTATAGTAGTTTGAAGTTGATGATTTTGTAGTTTTTCCGTAAAATGTAAATTTCTTCCAACTTGATCAATATGCAGCATAGCACAATGGTTTAAAGCGTTCATTTGGAATGCGCCGAATATGGTTATAATATAGGGTGTCTAAACACTCTATTTTTAGCATTATTTTATTCACTTAAACTTGAAAATAGGGACTTTAGAAGTTAAAATAATTTGAATTCAAAAAAATAAATATAGCACAAGTTAAAATAAATAGATAATCATATTATAACCATGCTAAGTAAAATTATAATTAAAAATATAATAAGCATTATACAAGTGAAACAAGTTATGCATTGAAAATTAATTTTTTGTTTATATTACACATACAATAATTCCAATGTACTAACAAAAAAGTAAAATAAGTACCTAGTTATATTGGTAAGCTGCTAATTTAATCATATTTTAAAATCATAATCCATTTAAAATATTTAAATTATAATATAAATTACTGAATAATATAATTATTTTAATTATTTCGCTAAATTCTTTAGTGTTATTTTAAATATTCCCCACTGATGATTCAATAAGTAGTCTTCAGGTTTTTTATTGAAACAGATTTATTAGATTTTTAATTTATAGAAATTAAATTTTTTTTAACAATCTATTCCTCTTTTTTTTATTGTCTCAACCCAAAATTTATCACTATGGATTTAATTTAAACTTTGTCTAGTAAATTTTATCAAATTAATAGCTACTGGTAACAGGGACATATTTAGGGGGAGAGGGGGGCGAGTGGGTACCATCGCCCCGAGCGGCACATTTTTTTGAAATCAAAGAGTGGCAACATTTTTTTGTAATCATCGTCTATTTTCATTCGTCAATCGAAACATTTTAATATTTAAGATTTTGCACAGTGACCACATTGCGATTTTTCTTTTCATGATAATATTTTCAAAAGTAGATCGCGTAAAATTTGTAGATAATAAATTTTACCTTTCTTGAAAATTATTTACGTATTCGTGTAGGGTGGCAATAAAACTGTACCTGTAGCGTCAAAACTCGTCAAAAATACGTCTCTAACTGGTAAAATATTACTTGAATTTTTAAGTTCTGTAGAAGCACAATGCATAATTTTAAGTATAATTTCATCACAATCGCAAAGAAAATGGAAACTCATTTAAAATTTTATTTGTCCTAGCCGCTTGATCACCTTAACCAATAATAGTAAGTACTTGAATTATTTTTGAACATCCTGAATTAATTTTACTCATGTTGGATATTAATATGAATAAAATTATATTTTTTTCACGTTTCTAAGTTTCTTGAAAATTTATCAATCTATGATTATAAGTTTTAGACGAGTGACCCGTAGAGGCATATTTAGGAGGGGGCGATTGCCCCTGGGCGTCAAATGATGAGTCCCTTAAAGGGGCGCCGTCGCTAGGAGTTAAATTGTTTTCAAGGTGAAATTATAATAGAACTAGCTGAATTACCCGTCGTTGCCGGGTTTAAGTATATAAATGTATGTAACCTGCCAAGATTAAATTTTGTTAAATCTATTGAAATTTAAATTAATTAAGATTTTTGAAATAATATTTTATACATATTAATTTAGTTTTTAAGATAATGATTATTATCATAACCTATTCGATAAGTTATAGCTTACAACTACCTGAACCTCTCTACAGTTTGGTATTCTGTTGAATACATATAGCATCTCACTTCTC